AGTTCAGTGGCGTTAAGAAACATTACAGAAATCTTTGGCAAGTGTGCATGCTGATCTTCACCGTGCAAATGGCAGCCGAGGAGAAACGCACCTCCCGTCGATGCTTAACCTCATCTGCTTGTTACATTTCACTGACTTTCATGAAGAATCTGCAGACTACCTCAGTGTTTCCATATGGAAAACCACCATGAAGTCAAAGCACTTTGTGGTCAGAGGGCGTTGCCCGGCAGGCAGCCCCCCGCTGTGGAGCCCCCCACTGTGGAGCACAGAGGCCACAGCCTAGCGAAGCCAGCTGTCCTTCGGCTGCCAAGTCCAGACCATGCAGACACACCAGCCAGGCACGTCAAGACCTTTATTGTTGCCAAGTCTTGCTTTCCAGAATCATCGCTCCCTGGGAAGGGCAGTGACTCGAGATGATTTGACTCGTGCAAACATCTCCCACCTGCTTGCATTGTGGCACATGTGCCTTGCCTGTCGAGGGTCACAGAACAGGACAGCTTTTGGAAGAACACGCGCCAAATGTCTCCACGCGAATGAGTGGAAGTTGACAGTCACCCCGCAGAGCACATCCTACCATGCAGTAAAATCACATTGGCAAAGGAGCAAGTGGCAATGAGACCAAGCGCATTGGTTACAGCAGTTCCTAGTTGAGCCCAGTGAAGGGCGTCGCCAGCGACTGCCCACAATCCACAGGGGCAGAGTAATGCGTGCATGTGAGGTAGGAAGCCAGAGACCACGAGGGCAGAAGTGCCCAGATCTATTCCCTCATGCATTCTGCCTTACTGACTCAATGCTGTGCCAGTTGTTTGACCCTCCCACTCCGCTCTGCTCTGCGTTCTGCTGGTTTCACCAGCACACCTTGACCCTGTGTTTCCTCTGGAACCTTGCTGACATCATCGATTGCGTTCCTGAATGTCTTTGGCCTTTCCGCTTCCTTGGCCACACTCTGTAAGTCAGAGGAGCCCTGCGGTTGAATGATACTCGATGCTATGTGCAAAAGGTGAAGGAGGACATAGCAGGAAACCTGGAAACAAAGCTGCATGGTAGTGTAATGTCTTCGGAGAAGAATGTAGAAATGTGAACTGTGATCTCAGAGGCTAAGATGGGAGTTTCCTCTGCAATGAGAACCTGATCTCTTTGCACCTACTTGATCTCGGCAAGTGCTTCCCAGATATCCTGGAGCACCGCTGGCTGTCTTGCCCCACGGAGGAGGTGCTTCCCAGATATCCTGGAGCACCGCTGGCTATCTTGCCCCACGGAGGAGGTGCACCAGGAAGAACCACAACATCCAGGTCAGAAAGTGGCCCACCCCAGTTGGCCTTGGATAAGACATCCAATCTCTCTGGGCTTCCTCAGTTCTAAGATAAGTCAGCTAAGTAACTTCTATACTCAAGCGCTCGCCCCTCGTGAAATGTAGGCGGGGAGTTCTGCTTCCCAAGAAAGTAAATCCCCTTGAAACTGCGCATGTTCTCAACATGCTGAAGCACACTTCCTGTGTGATGTCCACACACCGTGCCAGGTGTGGGATCCTGCCTTCTGACGTCGACCTTCTGACAACCTGACACTTGTCGTTGCAGGTGACAAGTGCCAAGGAGCCACCAGTTTCTGGGTCAGGGACAATTCAGACCACATCCTGTATGGGAGCGAACTCCACCTCTTCCAGCCTGCACCTGCCCTTCTTCACGCTTTGCCCAGCCTTGGCCCAAACCTGATTTATTCAGTCTGGACTAGCCTGATGTCTACAATGTCTGCAGTGCAAATTGGCATGCGTTTCCCTTGTTGCTGGTTCTGGTGACTCTCCTCTTTGAGTTCCTGCCTTGGGAAGGGAGCGTCTGCATTCCCAGTGTCACAGAGAAGGATGCCGAGCAGGTGGAGGGGTGGCCTGGGAGTGTGGCTGGTGGCCTGAGCGTGCAGAACTGGGAACAGGAACACATGTCTGGCTGGAAGTAAGGTGATTGCGTTTCAACCGCTGTCATTTGGAGCCAGCGTCTGTGTGGGTTCCAACTAAAGGCTGTTGTTGCCACGCACATTTCCTGCTATGTCAAGCTCATACAACCATTTCTTGGTTCCCAGAGCCCTTTCCCTCCATCGCTTGGGTCAATTTTCACAGCAACCCAGTGAAGGAGGCCGGGGTCCAGACAGGGGAGACGATGTGCCAGAGTCAGGCAGACACAGTTGTGTTTTAATCCTGGGTTTCTTTTCAGTCATCCATAGATTTTGGCATCAAAACATAAGACCAAGGGTCAAATTTTGATTAATGGAACAAAGTTGGGGGCTATAAATTGTAGTCCTAAACCTTAGTTTTTCTGGGTAAAGAATCTTAAAGATTGTGGCAGAGGTATTAGCAGGAGGAGTGTATGTGTGCAAACAGGCACATGAAAGTGTCGCTGATAATTTTATTGCTCCTATGGAACTGCCTAAACATAAGTAATTTCCAATCTTCTAGCAAGACAGCTGGTGAACTGTTTAGCTCTCACCCAGAGGTGTGGGAAGCCTGCAGTCCCCAGGGGGAGAGCAAGCCATGAACACGGTGCTTGGGCCAGGAAAGCTGATGAGGGAAGGGGCTTTGCATGGAAAATACAAGGGAGTTTCTCTTTATAGCTTTGGCTCTGTAGCCACTGGCTTGATTCTGGTTCCCACTGACACGTGGGGCTGAGGCCTAGCGGACCGCACGTTCAGTCAGGCATTCCTTTGCAGTCTGAAGACGAGCAATTTCTTGGCTCGTGTGCCTCCTGCCCACACTGGGCTCCACAGGGAGGGTCTGCTTCAGAGTGCTGGGATGAAGCTGGCTGCCCACGTGTGGACAGCCAGCCTGATGTCCAGTGGCCGCACACTGCCACATGTGTCTGCAATGGCCTTGGAGCCACAGACAAAAAATTCCTGCTTCTGACAGACACTCGTAGTCACGATTTCAAGGGCTTCCCCCTGCTGCTACATCTCCAAATTCCCAGCCATCTAAGGGAAAACTGGTGTTTCTTTGACTATTGAGTCAATTTCTTCTACAAGTTTCCAACAAACAGAAATACAATGTTAAAAAAGCACACTGAATTGTGGAGCTACAGGAAGGTTGCAGCTCAGCGGGGAGAGACTTGCCCCGTGGGGTCACTGCAGCTCTGCAGTCTGTCTCCTCCAGCATGGCCACTGGGCAGCAACTGTGCATACACTTCTTACACAGCCAACAAGCCAGCCACTCAGGACACTAGAAAATGCTGCTGCAAATCTGACGTTAGAAGAGGAAGTATCGGGCAGGCAGCAAACTTGGGTTCGTTCCCCTGGGGAGCTGTTTCTGCCAGAGCCATCCCCCAGCCGCAGTGAGATTTCACCACAGCCAACACCCAGGAGCCACATGCTGGGTCTGCCAGGTGCAGATGATCAGGGAGGGGGTGAGAGCGGGGAGCTCCTCATCCAGTCTGTGGCCATCAGACTACGTGCAGGCACCTGCAGCAGGTGGCACCATGCATTACAGAACAACAAGTGGCAACAAACAAACAGCAACAACAACAAAAACTCAAGTCATGGGCCCTGTGCAGTAGCCTAGGGGCTGAAGTCCTCGCCTTGCAAGCACTGGAATCCCATATAGGCGCCGGTTCTAATCCCAGCGACCCCACTTTCCATCCCGCTCCCTGCTTGTGGCCTGGGAAAGCAATTGTGGACAGCCCAAAGCCTTGGGACCCTGCACCCTCATGGGAGACTCAGAAGAAGCTCCTGGCTTCTGGTTTCGGATAGGCTTAGCTCCAGCCGTTGCGGCCACTTGGGGAGTAAACCAGTAGACAGAAGATCTTTCTCTCCATCTCTCCTTTTCTCTGTATATCTGACTTTCCAATAAAAATAAAATAAATATTAAAAAAAAAAAAACAACCGGAAAGACAAGACAACCACTGAAAGCAAGAGCTGTCCTGGCCTTGGGGTGTCTGTGCAAACCCCAGGACAAGGGAGCAGGTTCCTGGGAAGCCCAAGACTGTGTGAGAACTGCAGACAACCTGCCTAGACATGCTCTCGCTCCCAGAGGCCAACACAGCTGGCGTTTGGCTTGACCCCAACACTCCTTAGCACTGCCGGTTACAATTCACTCCCAGGGACCGTCCTCACTGACTACACTACTGCAGGATCATGGGGTCCTGAGACCCTCGCCTGTGCCCGACTGTTGGCTGCCACTCCTGTCCCGGCTACAATGGTCAGGGTCCATGAGACCGGAAGACAGCCTACAGAGACTGCAGCTTGAGGCGGTGATCAAGTAATGCATGATTTTATTTAAAATGTGTCCAAGGAGGGTTTTCACTTGCAACGAACAGTTGACCTCTTTCCGCATCATAATATAAACAGTATGTCCTCATGTCATGGAGGCTTTCAGAAAGTTCCAAGCAACTGAATAGAAGAGGGACAGGAAACGGTGGGGGAGATTAAATAACGGGAAGTTGACATCACGACGCGCGGGGCAGGCCTCGCCCATCCCGGCCTGGGACACGCAAGGATGAGTGGGTGGAGCGACAGCCCTGCTCATGCAGATCCTCCTGGGAGAATCACGTGGTGTCCCCTGGCAGCTCAGGCATTCCCTGTCGCTAGCACTCGGGAGAGGATGAGAGGTGACTGGGGAATGGGGGGTCATTTTGACTTCTGGCCAAGGAGCAGACAGGACCGCAAACACGCTGTCGACACGCAGGAAGAGCCTGTGAGCCCCGCGTGGGGAGGGTACGCACCTGGTATCTGCACCACTGCTTGCCCTGCTGGCCACAGCATCAACAGTCGTTTGTCCAGTGGTACCAGCTCATCTGTGGACAGCAGCTCACCCCACACGATCAGCACAGATGGCACGGCCGAGCCGAGCGGGCAGTCATGGAACCCGGCCGTGTTAGAACTGTGTTTTCACGAGCCAAAAGTCATATAGCACAAGTGAGGTTTCCATGGCGCCGCAGCAAGACCCACCTTCAAGGTGCGTTGACCTGCCAGGGAAGGAAAGAGCACAACGAGTGGGCGCCACTGGCGCGGACACTGCGGCTGGCTCCTGGGAGAGAGAAGCCAAGGGCTGGGGCTGGGGCTGGCGGAGGTATGGGGGGCTGGGAAATGTCACCGCGGCAACACTGGCTTTGAAGCGACTTGGAGATGCTCACACATTCACAACAGGCACAGAACTTGACAGCGTGGGCTGCCCCCACTCTTCTCTCTCGGTCAACACGTCTGTCCCTAAGTAACTGAAATGTCGCCTTCACATTCCGGGTGCAGTTCTGGCTGGAGTCAAAAAGGATGGAGGATGCGCAGCGTGGAGGAGGAGGTGGAGGGAGCCGGAGGGCAGCGGGCTCCGGCGTGCTCGGCCCACGCCAGCATCAGCCGTCGGACACAGGGGGCGTCACCCAGCCGTACTTCTCGTGCGTCTTCACCAGGCTCTTAAAGGTGGCCTCAGCTTCCTTGCGACTGAAGGACTTTTTGGATTTGCCGGCTTTCCTGCAGATTCGTCCCTGCAAGAGAGGAAAAGCAAAGCGAGATTAGCATGAGGTGAGCGCTTCTGTGGCTCTCCAGGTGCCCAACAGTCCAGGCTGCTGCAGGGTTTGGAATGTGGCGCCAGGGCCACATTGGGAGAAGGGGGTGCCAGCAGGTGCAGAGCCAAAGTGACGCATGAGCCAGGGGCTCACACATCTTTGGAGACTGAGGCACCACACCTGGGGACGGTGGGCTCTCTGCAGTTTCCCAAGCACCAGGTTAACACAGAAGAGGATAGGAAACCAGTTACTGTGAGTAAGTCACAGGTGTCAAGGCAACAGCTACGTGTGATGGGATTCGGCCCTCTGGCTGCTGAACCAGCTGAGCCCTAGCTTTGTGCTCATGATCCTGCCAGGAAAAGGCAGCAGAGGGAGACCTGTTCCTTACACCACGAGCCTTCAGTGTTAGAAGGATGAAGGAGGTGGTTAAATATATTTATGTTCTAAAGGCTCTGACTGCTGATACCTGCTTTTTCCTGATTGGTGTAAAGGTTGATTCCAAAGTCTTTGCAAAAAAAAAAAAAAAATGTGTGTGTGTGTGAGCCCGGCACGGTAGCCTAGTGGCTTTGCATGCTCTGGGATCCCATATGGGAAGTGGTTCGTGCCTCAGATGCTCCCCTTCCCATCCAGCTCTCTGCTTGGGGGAAAGCAGTCGAGCACGACCCAAAGCCTTGGGACTCTGCACCTGAAGAGACCCGGGAGAAGCTCCTGGCTCCTGGCTTCGGATCGGCGCAGCTCTGGATTTTGTGGCTACCTAGGAATTATGTTAATAAATGGAAGATCTTTCTGTTTGTGTCTCCTCTTTGTAAATCTGACTTTCCAATAATAATAAATAATTCTTTTTTGAAAATGTGTTTGTGTATAATTAACGAAGTAACTTTGGCCTTTGATCTCAGCCTCTGGTGATAACTGCATCAGGACTTAATTGTCCCTTTGTATCAAACATAATGACACGACAGTATAGAACCACAAATCAGTCATAGGAGTCATGTCCTGGGGAGACTTGGGGAAGTTTCTAGCAGTCAATAAATGGTGTTTCCACTCTGCTTCTCTTGATGCCTTTGACCCACTTGGCGTCCCATCTGACGTGAGCCCGGGAGTGTCACTGCCCTCGATGGCAGATGGACAAGCTATTCCAGGGAGGTGCCTGAAGGGGGGACTGTGAAATGGTTAAATTTGTTCTGTTAAACTCTGAATTTAAAGGTGCAAAATGGTCTTCAGCCACAGGTTCAGGGTTCAGGCTCCACCTGCCCAGTGGAGACGCAGACCAGTGCAGCTGGCTTCCCGCTGGAGTGACCCAGGAGTTATCAGACAGAGCTGATACTGGGACCTCGCCTAGCTATGGCCAGAGACCCGGGCAGCTTGAGTCCCTCGCTGCTGGGCCAAGGAGCGGCTGCTGTGTGGTGTAGACCACTGCGGGAGGGCCGCTGCCAACTCAGTTCATGCTTGTGCTGCAGCACGGAGAGCAGGCATTGGGAATGCAGCAAGGTGTTCTGGAGGGAATGGCTGCTGGGCAATGTCCATGGCCAGCAGAGCTAGGGGCGCAGTATAAGCACCTGCTGGTTGATGACCCGTGGCCCCCTCCCCACTGCACATGTGAGAGCTGCTCAGGAAGTGCAGGTGTTGCTGGAGGGCCTGTGGGCAGTCATGCATAGCTGCGAGGCAGGAATGGTGCGGCTGAACACTGGCCCAGCCAAGAGCCAGCATTACCCTGCACTGCCCTCGGATGTCAATGCAGCACAGTCCCAGGCCTTCAAGTCACGCTCACGCCAGTGCTGCCAGCTCTCCCCTCATCAGTCTCGAGGAGGGCGGGGAACCTTTGTTATGCCAGGAGCCTTGCACATACTGTGCCATCATTTGCCAGTCATTCAAAATTACCCACTCAAAACTTAGCCTGTAGATTTACTGAATTTCAGGTCCTGCCTGCGGTTCCTCTGGCAGGTCAGACCAAAGGCTTCTGTGTCTTTACACAGCCACGGGCCGGACACTTCCCAACCCCGAGTCTCTGAAGATGGGCCCCGTCCTTCCTGTCCTCTGAAGAACCAAGTCCTCTGTCCCTTGGGTCACTGGCAGGGGTGGTCAGCTCCTCCCTGGACTTGAGCAACCATGCACCAGCACTGGCCTCCACCCTCACTCAGTCTCAAGGCCAGCTGCACTCCAGAGAAGTGTCTGCCTCATCCTCATGAGAGGCGCCAGAGCAACGCAGGCCACGGGGACTCATCATTGCTCTCAAGTTTGATTCATAAGAGTAAGAGCTTTAAAATGTGTATGTAGGGGACTGGCACTGTGGCATAGCACAGTAAGCCTCCACCCATGCACCAGATTCCATATGGATGCCGGTTCGAGCCCTGTCTGCTCCACTCCGAACCGGCTCCCAGCTAATGTGCCTGGGAAAACAGCAGAGGATGGCCCAAGTGCGTGTACCCCTCGGGACTCCGCATGCATGTGGGAGACCCGGAAGAAGCTCCTGGCTCCCGGCTTTGGATCAGCCCAAGCTCTTGACACTGCAGCCATTTGGAGAGTGAACCAGTGGACGAAAGACAGATTTCTCTCTCTACCTCTCTTTCTTACTCTACCTTTTAGATAAAAATAAGTCTTATTTTAAAAAAAAGTGTGTGTTATTGTTGTTGTTGCAGGAGGGGAAGAAGTTGAATCCAAATGCAGCAGGGAGAGTACGCTGGCTCTGAGTCCTGCTCCTTGGACAAGCTGGTCCTGCCACAGGTCAGCGTTGAGAGCCAGCTCCCCGACTTCCCTCTCTTGTGAGGAAAGTCCAGCATCAGACAGCATCCACTTCCCTGAAGTCTGTGATGTCAGCAAGAGCCCTTGTTCTCTGCCAGGAAATCACTGGCAGGGACTCCAGCCACAACTGCTCTGCATGGCCAGCAGCACATCCGGCAGGCTGACTCCAGTGCCAAGGCTGGGATCTGGTGGACTTGCCCGGAGTCCTCAGCATGTGGATCTAACACATCAGTGTGACTGCACGGAGGTCACCATGGGGCCAAGCTTGGATCATGGGGCCAAGCTTGGGCTCATGGAGGTTGGGGTGGGCTCATGGAGGCTTGGGATGGGCACAGGGAGACTGCGGTGGGTTTGTGGAGGCTGGGTTGAGCACAGGGAGGCTGGGTGGGCTTGTGGAGGCTCAGTGGACATGGAGAGGTCAGGGCGAGCAGCTGTGGGTGAGCTGCTGTAGGCGTGGGGAGCTCCCCAGTCACTGCCGCCCAAAGGGCTTTTGGGTGGCTTAAATGGGTGGGTGGCAGAGGATGTCCCTACCCTCAGAAAGGTCTCGCCTACAGGGGGTGTGGCCTCTCACATATCATGAGTCTGAGGTGCTGGTATGCACTGAGGCCCCAGGCCTAGGTGAGGATGGGGCGTGGCGGGCATTTCTGCATTGGGACTGCTGGTTTCCTCGCCTGTTGCTGCCTCTGGGAACAGCCAGTGGCTCTGGGTAGCTGCTCCCATGCAGTGATGACAGCAGCAGGTGGTTTTTGTAAACATCAATGACCTTCTCCAGCCAAGGAAGCAAGGCACAAGTGGGCGGCGGCCCTGACAGCACTGAACATGACGCCTGGTAGTTCAAGAGACCGCCCGCAGGTCACACACTGACAGGACGCTTTGCTTCCCGGAACACTGTCACAATCATTGCCCAAGTCAAGCAGCAGCTGCCGGGATCAGTCCCCATCTGAGCTTCTCAGCAAGACCTGACAGAAGGCGGGCTTTGTAAGACAGTCATGTTTGAGTGAAGGGCATTGTGGTCAACAGGCCCACTTGCTGCCAAGTCTCACAGTAAAATACAGACCCCATTAGCAGAGCTGGCACTGGAGGTCCGTGTACACTCCCCGGGCAGCTTCTGCGTTTCACCGGTTTATGCTGCTGCTCCAACCCCGGGCATCAGCTGAACCTTTGCGTCTGTGAGCATGGTCTGAGGCTGTCCTTGTGGTGCACCTGTCCCCTCCAACTTCCTCTCGCTCCCACCTCTCCATTCCTCCCCATCTGCTTAACAGTGGTTTCTGGTTAATACAGGACCCAGCTGACAGTGTGCTGTGAGTCCTGGAGGAAAGAGAAAGGCCCAAGCCACTGACATGATGTCATCTTACCCCAACGCTGCTCTACAGGAGAGGAAACCCAAAATAGGGCAGAGAAATGGGGCAGGGCAGCTTACTACTGGTGGGCGAGGCAAGCTGGGGTCCTGGTGGAAAGGTGGGGTCCTCTTATCATGCGAGACTGTCACCTTTGTGATTCAGGAACGAAGTTGATACTAAAAATCAAATTTCTAGTCTCTGGGCGGAGAACTTAGGAAATTGAAGGACTGACTTTGACCTAATAAAATAGAAAAGAGACTTTCTATAAGCAACTGGAGTGGCTATTATTACTTGTAGGTCACTACTTTGGGTGCTGTTCTGATTTGGATTCTTCAGTTCGCACAGGAGCATACTGCAACACAGTCCTTGCTTTGAATAAGAACTACAAGCAGCAGAGACACGGATGCATCACCAGAAATCTCCCACCAACGCACACGCTCTACTGGTACCAGCCTGTCATAAGCTTGACTTACAAGGGGTAAACTAAGGCACGGACTCAGGTCACACGAGATCTGGCAGCTGGAAGGTGGCTGGTCAGGACATTAAGTAGCCAAGCTGGCTCCTGAGTCTTAGCTCACGATCCCTTCCCATGACGAGGGACAGTGAGACCCCAGGGGAAGGAACCTCCACACTGATCTTGAGTTCTCACCTTCTCGCTGCAAGCATTGCCCACCTGTTGCCCAGTGCTCCTTGGGTGCCCATGCCCTCTGATAACGGGTCTTGGGCAATCATCATTCCAGGCATTCACACACTCTTGGCATTTCAAGGACAGAACAGCAGCGCCTGCTGCTACTTCCTCCTCAGCAGTGGCAACTTCCCACCCCACCCCCAGCATACAGTGCCTTGCCTGTCTTGGTCGTAATTAGCATCCTACAAGCTGCGGCTCCACACTGGATCAAG